CGCAGCACTCTGGGGTGCATCCCATCAGGACCCATGGATTTGTGGGTATCAAGGTTCCTTAGGTGCTCTCTGACCCAATCTTCCTCTAGCCAGGGCAAGTCTTCCCCTCTCTAGGCTTCTTCTCTTGTCCCTAGGGCCTGAGGCTCTAAAGGGCTGCCCTTGGTAAACACCGAAGCAAAGACGGCATTCAGAAACTCTGCTTTTTCTGTGTTACTCATAACCAGACCACTAGAATGACTATTAAAAACCCCGTGTTTCCTGTTACTGCTCTGCTGCTACCTCTTTGCATGCCCCCATCACCGCAGGCCAGGCCATGGCCCCAGGCACAGCACTTAAACTTGGTGTGCCTTCTTGTCTAAATGAAAACGAGCTGAGTGATGTTCCCCCCCAAGCAGCAGCATTTTAAGGGTGGGTTAATGTTTATAAAGTGTAGTGGAAATGAAACACTGGGCTACTTTTAGCATTCCACGTGAGCATGACCTTTCTCTTCAAAGACAAGTGCTCCTGCCACATTTCTTGAGGTAAAATCTGTCATTGCAAGAATATCAACAGCATCAAGGGCAGTATTTGGTTTTTAGGGTAGCCTCCAAACAGGAGTTGCATTCATCTGAGGATGGATGGATGGGGCTGATTGCATGTGCCATAGGGTGGCACACATTTCTGTGCATTTTTAGTGCTGGTTACCAAGATGCAGGAACATACACATGCATATAAGCATATACTTTCCTCCATATGCTCTTTCTCCAAGCGAATGAAGATGTTATTTCCAAAGGCCATCAGTAAACACCCCCAAATTACTCAGCTATTTCTGACTTTAGAGATTGATTTTGTTGCTACTGGAAAATTCCTGCAAGTTGGTATGTGAGATTAGACAGCCTCTTGTTTCCCAACATGATACAAGCACCATGGAGCACATATTTTAACAGAGCTTTTTAGATGACTGCTGAAAGTTACTTCCAAAAAAAACCTGTCTTCCTAAAAATATTGCTGATAGGGGTGTTCCCACATTTATTTTCTGAAAGAAAGATTGAGGAAGGAAAATTGGAAGTCTGGCAAAGAACAAAAATGGGGAAATTCAATAACTTTCAATTCTGCTTTGAATTCAGAGTTTACTGTTTCCAGAATAGTTAACCTTTCAGTACTGCTTTTCTGAGATTCATCTTCCAGTGATAAAGAAAAATTCATAAATATTACACATCAGTTTTAGGATTAGGAATAAGATCCACTTCAAAACTTTCTAGGGTAATGGCATTTGCTGCTTCTGCGCTTATTTTAACCAATTAAAATCTGCTTCTAGACCCATTTCCTACTTACTGTATAAAACAGTGTGATAGAGAGTTGGGTTTTTTTTCTCCTTTCTGTACTCTAAGTTGTGCTGATTGATGGAAAATAAGGCACCTTTTTATTGTGTAGTGCTGATGTCCTACCGCTGGATGCACGTGCCCTGCCACGGAGCTCTTCAGATTGCTTGAATTCTAGGAGGGGTTTCTGAACACCTCAGAAATAATAATCTTGCCAAAATCAGTAATGTAAGCTGCTAACAAGAATAGCAAGAATATCCAGAGGGCACAGTGTGGAAAATACCTACTTCTGAGTGCCAGGCAACCCGCCAGTGCTGTCTTGCTTATCTAAGAGGTACATGCTGAAGTGATGAACGATCCAAAATTCTTCCTGAATGGTTACACAGCAAATTATGGTTAGTTTGCATTTCCCTGACATGGAAGTAGTAAAAAGAGCCTGAAAATAAGTTAAAAGGAGGACTTCACAGCCAATGGCTTCTTGAAAATATTTCAACTAGGAATAAACGTAAATTAGACCTATGAGCAAGGCACCTAGATGTTTCCATTAGGAATTATATAAACTATTGATTCCATCATCGATGTGAGGTGCTTCTAAGTATGTGAGATCACTGTGTAATATTTTTGTCCTGGAAAGCTTGGCTGGAAGCAAGGGCACAAGCATAAAGGAAAGAAATACCCAGGAGAGCTAAACCAAGCTCTTAATGAATACATGGCATAAATAATATATAACCTGGCAATATCTATCCTAGGATTAAAATTGTTCTGTGGAGCTACCAGGAAAGACACAAACAGAATATTAAATAAAAGGAAAAGAAGAGAACCTAGAGGCAGAGGAAAGTTACTATTCTCTTAAGCTCTTTGAATTATACAAGTTTTTGGTGCCCACTCAGAAATGCTGTTTAAGTTGAATCTGCTCCTATGCATGGACATCGTATTCTATTCTTGGCCTCCTATACTGGAATTTCCATGGGAAGGGGACAATTTAGTTCTTCACCCTCCTTGGAAAATCCAATTTTTTTTTTTTTTTTTTTGCGCATGTCCATTCTCATTTACTGTAGGTGGGTTCCAAAGAACATTCCTGTTTGCTTCTTCAGTAAGCTCCAAGGATTTTCAGGGGTTCCTGCTCTTCCGGATAGGTCAACTGTTGAGTAAATATTCAGACATGGAGAAAGGGAGCAGACAGGATACAAAAAAGTCCAAATCTGTGTAAGCATTTGACACAATATTTGTTCTTTGCAGAGATGGATTTTTTTACATATATATGGTTTTATTTTTCTCATCATGGGATAATTTCTTCTGGTTGAAATGTCTGTGCCCAACACAAAGCAACACAAAACCCTGGAATACCTGCAAAAAATCATTTGCAGGAATACCTGCAAAAAATCATTTTTCCAGCCAGTGTAGAAAGAGCAAAGATGGCAAATAGAGGAATTTAAAGAGCTCATAATATGTGAGAAAATCATTGATCCTGGACTCTATAACTCAGAATTTTAATTTTTGTGGACCTGTTATAAAAAAAAAAAAGGTGTACATATATGGATTGTCAGTGTCATTCAAAAGGAACCCATGTCTCAAAGTAAAACACTTGCTTTCATGCCGCTCCTTCCCAAATCAGAGGGGTTTTGTAGGCACGTCCAGAGAGATGATGAAGCCACTGACCATAAGGAGAGGCAGGATGCTGGGTAAGGAGGGAGCTCACTCTTCGTGCCCGGTGCCTCTGTGTATATCAAAAAGTGAATGCAAATCTTCACGTCTAGGCTGTATTCCTAAGAGCCTTGCCTGTATGTCTGCATGTCTTTTAAAAGCACGTGTGGCAGTTGTATATAAATGCATACTATAAATTACATAGTGCTGTAAAATACAACTATTGCATTAGCACAATGCTGTTTAACTTCATTATTGTTAGAAAGGAAGAGAAGTAAACAACCTAAAATCTCATGGTACCTTTTCCACTGATAGGGCTACGGTGGTTACATTACTTCAATGATCCTGAAATCCAGTGAGCGGCTTTTCAAATGTGGGGCTGCGGTGGCACCAATTACAGACATGAAGCTGTACGGTGAGAACCCTCTATCCTTCACCTCCCTGACAGCTTATTTCAAAATATCTTTTATTCATGGAGCTGCTATTCATTTTAAGTAAGGGCAGGCAGTGTAGCGATATCGATTGGTTTTCACCTTGCTATTTCCTTCTCCTCTTTAAATGAAAAGGTGAAAACAGCTGGCATTGGGATAGCTCACCAAAACACTAACAGATACATTGTTTTTAACACCAGAATTTTTGTCAGAAGAGTTGTGTTTCCCATTTTGCACTGAAGTTCAATCAGATATCTCATTCCCCTTAGACTCTTTCAGTGTATCAACCTGAGTCAAGATTTTTAATGGATGTGGTAAGGAGAGATATCTATGAATCTTTTAAATTTAGTGAAAGGATCCTTATGATCTCAACCATGTCCTCATTCAGTCACAGGATATTTGGCTCTGTGTGAGGCATACTGGGCATATCCTATGGGCCGTGGTACACTGGAGATCAGATTAAATAACTTCTACTTACTCTGAGTCAGACGTAAGCACCTTTTAAATAGAATTAATTGTGATAAATTCTGGATTTTTTTGTTTTTACTTGGACAGCATCGGCCTTTTCAGAAAGATATCTGGGTCTTCCTTCAAAAGAGGAAAATACCTATCAGGTAAGTTAGTGTAAACAAGTAATTTAAAGTTATAATTTTACTTCAAAATAGAACTCAGCTACACCTTTGTTTGTTTACTAGGCATCCAGCGTGCTACACAATCTTCATGGTTTAAAAGAAGCAAATTTGCTAATAGTTCATGGCACAGCTGATAGTAAGTATTTACAGATGCAATTACATTTTTCACTAGAGGTTTTAACAGACAGATGTTCAAGGACAGATGAGGCCATGCACCTAGCAAGAACATTTTTAGCTTTGTTATCCCCCTGGTAAGGTTTTCTGTGCAGAGAGATTTGATTGTCTGTTTTAATTGCCAACTCTAGCTCTAAGCTGATGATACTTTTCTTTGCTGATTATTTGTACCTTTTAGGTGCTGTATGTTCTAATTTGTTTAAATCTTGTGGACCACTGTCTTGCTCAGGAAAGGTATTAAATCAATTATTAATAGAACAACATACATTTTTAATGGCATTTCAAATTTATGGAGCTTCTGCAATTGAAGAAAAAATTACCGGTACAGCCGGTGAGGTACAGTACCTAATGGGAAGTTAAACTTTCCAGCAAATTAATTACAACTTACAGACGAAGCATCAGAAGCGGAACGATGGGGAGCCCTTTCAGAGAGCTGGTAATTTTATCATGAGCTTGGCTGACTGTAGGTCTGATTTGCTGGTTCCTTTAGTATGATTATAAACTGTCATGATGCTCAGAGAAGATGGTTTACACACCTCTATTGCAGTCTGTCAAAAGCAAGGGTAGCCTCAAAAGCATAGCCTGGTGCTTTCATCTCAAACCTCATATCTCCAGAAACATCTGCTCTTCCTTACTACGTCACTGCTGTTGGTTGGGCTGTGCATTCCTGACAAGAATAAAAAGTCAGGCAGCTACAGATCTGGTTATTGCAAAGAAACATTCCGAGTCACTCTTGCTTAACAGCTAAATATTTCATATTGGCTTGGCTCTTTCTGATAGTATCAAATGTCATTGCCTTGCAGTGAAAGTCCACTTCCAGCATTCAGCAGAGCTAATTAAACATCTAATAAAAGCTGGAGTTAATTACACTATGCAGGTATGTGCAACTGTGGTATTTTCTATAAACATAGTAACATTGAATCTCATGCTGCTATTTCTTCCCTGAAAAGGATCCTCCCTACCGCCCTGCACTAGTATTACCTTGATTTGTGGTTATAATGCTGTTTAATCCTATTACTGTTATGTGGATTTTAAGAACCACTTTAACACTTCGAAATTAGTGGAACACTGCTGAAAATCATAGCTAAGTAAGCTTGCAAACATAGTGACTGAGAATGTTGTGGGTTTGAGGGTTTGCTTTTTATTTTTTTTGCTTCTATAGATCCCGCTGCAGTGGTCATTTTATTTAAGTTTGGAATTCCGACGACAGAATTTTACTTTGAGTTCTGTTAGCTCTCCTTGATGTCATAAAACCAATGTTGCCATCTAACATTTTGAAGATCAGAAAATTAGAGCTCTAAATGTCTGAAAGGCCTTTTAAAAAATGTTTTTTTTTTTTTCTTTTTGCCTCTGCTAGATCTACCCAGACGAAGGTCATAACATTGCTTCCGAGAAAAGCAAATATCACCTTTACAGCACAATCCTTGGGTTTTTTAGTGCTTGTTTAAAGGAGGAGACACCAATTCTACCACAGGAACCTGAAGAGGATGAATAAGGAAGCCTATTTGTGTAGTACTGAAGGGGACTTACTTTGCGGCTCAATAAAACCTTAAATAAAAGTGACTGTAAGATTGCAGATTCTGCAGAAGCTCAAGGGCAGCTAAAGGATATCACAGTGGAACAGCACATTTAGAGACAATGAGCTAATAAACTGGAATTCGAATACCAAGTCCAAACTTATTACCAAGGGACAAAACCTTTACCTTTGCGGAAGGTCGACAGTTGGTTACAGTTTCCTGGAAGAACTTAGTTTTGCATAAATGTAGGGTTAGTGCATGTTTGTTATGTTAAGCCTCACTGTTGGTTCTGTAAGTGGTTGCTCGTTTTTTTATTTAAATGCACATCTTTATTCATCATAATGCACAACCTCCCGTAAGTATTATGGCCACTAATACTTTAAAAGGTGAGCTGCAACCTAACACTTCACTGTAATGTTACAAGAAGTGCAATTCTTTCGCTGTCTATTACACATAAGAAACCATGGAGTTAATAAAGGGCACGATATTTTCTGTAGTTTCTGCTCAAAGGAGAAATATTGTCCAGTGCATCATATAACATCTATATTGAAAACGATTTTTTTTTTTCACTTTTAGCATTTACTATTATTACTGTACCTACTAGTAACCAATAGGGGATATTTTGATAGTGTACTCTTGGTCTTAATGTATATACACGAGACTCCCTAAGCAGAAAATCTTTCTGAGTTTGAACAGTTTTTTCACGACGTAATTAACAGCTGTATTTAAAATAATATCTGCAATTGAAAATTTTTCCCAATCCAAAATGTATCTATTCGTTCCTTAAAATATTTTTGGGTTGTGCTTTGGTATTGTTTATAGTAGTTAATAGTTTGCTGGTTACACTCTAATTTTAGAATATGCTAATTTGTCACATGTAAATTAGATACATAAATATTATAGTTTCAGATAAAGAAAATTTATTAACAATGTACAATGCCATTGAGTAATACTTTACTCTTCAAATGAAGAAATATTTTGTATAGTGCATCTTGCTTTTCTTCCATCTGGCCTGAAATTTTGTTGTGATTTTCATCAAGGTGGCCACATCTCCACAACCTTTTATTTGATATCACGTAGCTGCTCATTAAGTCTCTTACAGCAGGACTTAGACTCACTATCACTGCAACAAAATGAATTGTTTCTCATTCAAAGCAGAGGAAGCGCCTGACAAGTGAAATTAGATTATTTACGCAGAAGGAGAGCCCCCATGCATCCTTTTATTTGCCAAGGCAAATTACAGCAATAGAAATTGAAACTATGAAATAAACAGGGCAGCCAGTTTTGGTCTTCAGAATATTAACTCTGATCACTGAAATCAAGTACAACGTTCGCTTAATTTGGGATGTCTTCCTGAAGGTGTATGAATGCTCTTGACAGATACTGTGCAACTTTCAGGTGAATAGCTGGGGTTTCTTTCTTTCTTTCTTTCTTTCTTTCTTTCTTTTTTTTTCTTTCTAGATATATTCCAAATACTTTCCTATCCAATTAAGGTCTCATTTCTTGCAAGATTAAGAAAAAAAGTAATTTTTGGAAAGTAACTTATGCTATGTAAGTATAACATAGTATACTGCGTATTTTATGAAGAATGGAAATTGTTTTTAAGTCAATTGAAAATCACCTGAGGCTTTTTATTCATTATTTTCCTCTGAAATATTTTCTTTAGCCGTTGGCATTTTTTATGATGCAAATAATTAATTTGTCTGAAAGATGTGGTTTTATGGAACACTGAAAAGGCTCTGTCTTTTAATGTTTAATATTTATCTTGTTTTCTTAGCAATGTTCAACTATTTTTCAATTAGTTTAATACAGTTTGAATGTGCAATGATATCCTGTCTGGGTCCCAGTGTCACCACAAAGGAGGAGTGTGCTTTGTGGCATTTGTAGTGCGTATGGATAGTACATGTGTAAAGTGGGAGTAGAGTATATATGTTGGAAACCTGGAGGCTGCCTGTTTGCCCTAGGATAAAATCATACCAAAAGAAAAAGAAAGACCACAAAGCAAGAGAATAATTCAAACAAGACACTGCCATCCCTGTTTTTACTGAAAGAGCAACGTTTTGAGTCTTCTGTTGGCTGGGACGTCTAGATTGTGATTTTATAAATTACACCCATTACTTAATAAATGTCCACCTGATAATGCCGATGATTCTCCTAACTGAAATCGTAGTGAGATCCTAATCCAGTTGGACTCCTTGGGTTGTTTATCCTTCTTCAAGCCCAAGGCACGCAGGGAAGCGGCGGCCAGGACGCACATGCGGAGACGTGTGGGATGGTGGCTCTGATTCCTGCATTTCACACTTCTCATCTTTAGTCACCCATGGAGGCAAGCAAACCAGGCTCAGTTGCAGAACTATAGATGTATTTTATTTTTGCAGGACCCCTCTCATGTCTGAGCCCTTTCCCAGTTCCTCTGCCCCCTGTGTCTCTCTGCTCCAGACCTTTCAGCTTGTTCTTTCTACCCCAACATCTCACCTCTGGTCTTGACCCATGAATGTGAAGGTGACATGAGGACGTGACTTCTGTACAAAAGCTTTTGCAAGGCCTGGTATGTTCAAAAAGTGTGTGGTGTTTGAAACGTGGGTTATCCTGCATGGAAATTTGGTACTAATTTCTCACACAGTATTGTTGCACTCAAGTATGAAGGTGAGCATCAGACCTAGATTAACTGGTTTTATTGAAATTTTTGTGTGTTAATTTAAGTTCAGATGTTGCAGAAGTAATTATACATGCAGCATCTGATTATAGCTAGACTCAAGAATTTGGAGTGTAGAGGTGTCCATCCTTGTTAACCAGTTCACATATATTTTTTCCCCTTCCAGCACAGCTCGTGCAAAATTGTTGCTGTCAGCTTCTACATACATAAGTAATGTCTTAATTAATTTGTGATCTATAGGGCTGATCAAAACACATTACACATTACATAGAAATGGTATGAAAAAAACCACAAATTTTTCTGTAACTTACCCTTTGTTAAACACCATAATGATAATTTAGGTCTGAAATATGATTCAACTGTCTCTAAAATATGACAGTCTTCAGACTAGACCTGCTAATTTAGGGAGATCTAAAGATCTAGAGAATCAGAATATCCATTTGCTTACAAAATTGGGAGTAGCTGCACATCCACTAAGAGTAATTTTTTCAAATTGTTGAGTGTAAAAACAAAAAGGATTGGTTTTAAATCCCTTTTTTTTCCCTTTCTGTTTCTTTTTTTCCTTTTTTTTGTTTTTGTTTTTGTTTGTTCGTTTGTTTGTAGTAAAGACAGAATTATTTATTTATGACCTAGTTTGATTGACATCTGCTACCCCACGCTGTGGTTTCCTGTAACTGCACTGCTCCTCGTTCCTGTGTTTTCAGCATATGGAGATCTACTTGTGGCTGCAAATGAAGATAATAACCTCTGTCCTTGCAGCCCTGGCACTTAGCTTGGGTGTGCAGTTGGTTAGATGCATTTAGCTGAGAAATTGCACCTTCCTAGAGAGAAGAGCTTGTATTTGATCAGTAGCCGAAGATGAGAACCTGGGAGTGGTGAGTGCTGGCTCATTGACCAAATGCGGTGGATGCAAGGTGTAATCTGGGATCCTTCCTTGCAGATTTATTTGATCTCGTTGAAGAAACTGAAACACAGAGAAGACTGTTCCAGAGAGATGCAGCACTGACTGTTTTTGTGCCGTCCAGAACCACGTAAGCAAGGTGCAGTGGTGCTGATGTATCACATCTACATCAAGTAAGCCCAGCTGTTGAGTTGGTCACCTCTGGGGAAGGAAGTCCCTCGCCGGTATTGATGGAGCAGCGCATCTCCTGCAGAACCTCTCTGAGCACTGTTGCGAGCGCTCCCCTTCCTCCTCTGATAGATTTCAAGAATGCTCCACTGATGTGGCTCAGAAGAGACTCCGTTTCCAAGGTGCCTGGAGCTCCAGAAAAGAATTTAGTTCAACCTTGTCTTGCGTTTCATACATGCAAGTCCAGAGTGGGGATGACGAGTGTCATTGGTTTGTTCACCAGGGGTTTGCACCATGTGATTTCTACCAAGTGAGCCCAAAATTCGACAGTGGTAATTAAGAAAAAAAAAATGCCTATATTGCAGAATGGAATGTGATGCCTCAGCTAAACAGTGCTGATAGAGCAAGCCACTAAGGTGTTATGACAGAATTGAGGAAAATTTAAATTGCTTGAGTATCTGGCCCAAAGTTTCCGTTAGACTTGGACTGGACTTCTTGCTGGTATAATTAGTTAAGGAATGCAATCAATACAGTCCAACTTTTACATAAGCCTAAGTCAACAACAACAAAATTGATTTAATAATGATTATACCCCACTAGGACACAAACGATACATGGAATTCTTTTTAATTAAAATGTTCCACCAAGTGCTAGCAGCCTTGTGTTTTTATACTTCAGGATCAAAAGAAAAAGAGTGCTTTTAGTTGATAAAACCAGTAGAGGAATTATAATTGATAGGAGACTATTCCTGTAAGGAAAGTGATTAGAAATATTTTCTGCTGAAATATATTTTGGGTCTTAAGTGAGCTCAAAGTACAGCTGTTGCTCCTGTTTCTGGAAGGATTTGGATGTTGGTCCAGAGCTGATCTCTAGAGCAAAACAGGCAAAAAAAAAAAAAAAACCCAAAAAAAAAAAAAAAAAAAAATAAGAGGAGGGAAAAAGAAGGGGGAAAAAGAAGAAAAAAAAAAAGATTATTATAGGCATCCTACGATTCTGACACTGGCGTATGCATGTGACAGATACAACCCCCCTGGCTCTGGTAGAAAACCGAAGGTTTCTATCACCACCAGGAGAGAAGCAGTGTGGAGAGTTGAAAAGAGATGCTTCACTGCAGAAGCTCAGAGCTTCCACGCTAGAATAAAGTGGTATAAGTGTGTGCCACAAAACTAGCAGTAACCTTAGACGTAAATGTAGCCAACACTTGATTCAATAGACTTTCAACAAAAGCAGGAAAGCTGTAGCACCCAGTTTTTTTCATAAAAGAAAGATGGTGCTATTTATGGCTTCTTGCAGACTTTTAGTCCAGTATTTAAGTTTTATTTTTATCCTGTGTTTCAGATAGTCATTATAAAATAAGAATCAGTGAATATACTTTCAAGTTGGAAATGGTGGAAATGGTAATGTGCTTGGCTAGAGAGGCTCATCTGCTTGTCCTGGAAGGCCTACTTGTGCAACACAGTGGGACTGAAAGTTTTCCCTATAAACGAGGGAGCTTTTACAGAGCATCGTATGCAAAGTATAAGTTAAAGATGAGGGATGACATCTGAGGAACCACATGAGGTCATTGGGCAGTGTAATAGGGAGACTGAAGCAAAACAAAGGAAAAGAGCAACGTGGAAAATCAATTTAAAGATGGACTTTCAGGCTTACAAGGTGTACTGTGAAAGAGCATTCCAGATTTTGTAGCATTATTTGGTTCAAGAACTTGGTCTGAACTGGGGCTGGAAGCAGCACTCTGGATGGATTTTGCTAGATACCTCCATAGATACCTCTGTAGAGAAGGGCTATGTCTTTGCTCCTGCTCCCTGGAGAGAGGGGCACCTTCCAATGGAAAGGTTGGGATGATATTTGGGGTTGGAAAAAGTTGGTTCCCTGCCCTTCTCTCATGTCATCTTGAAGGCTATGCTGGTGAGTGACTGACAGGCTGCAGAGAAATCCTGCTCTTCCAAAGGATAAAGGACAGGGACTGGAATGGGCCTGAAATAGCATTTGTGACCCTGAAGTGTCTGGGAAGTAGGTGGGCATCCAGGTGCGTAGTGGCTGGTGATGGGAGAAGGTCCCTGCAGCATCCTATTCCTTGTCAGGCACTGCGAGTGGGAGAGGGGAATCTGTATGGAAGAGGGGAAAGGGGGGCACCTGCCTCTTGCCGTTCGCCTAGGAAAAAGAGTGCAGTGTATCTTCTACACGCAATCCTTGCAATAGATGAT